GGGGGGGGGGGGGGGGGGGGGGGGGGGGGTGTACTCATAGTCGTGCATGCCGTAGTCGTTACACCATTGACCTCGCATCCCTACAAATTGAATGATGTCGACAATTGCCAGCCCCCCAAAACGCCAAAATCATCAATCATCCCCGCGTTCAGCAACGACCAACACTCACGAATTGCACACTTGTGGACAAATGTTTCATTTAAATGAGCGAAAACACACATGCACCCCGGGTTTTTACGAAGTTGACGCCCGCGAGCAAAAAACTGCCAGCAAAGAAAAAGCGGTAGAGCATATCTCTTGGGAACTTGAGCATTATCGTATCGCGCGTCTAATGAGGGGTAAGTATGCATATGCATATGCATACCTTCGACACGGTTTTCCGTAAGGTCCAGGTCCGTGAGCTGAGGGATGTTTGCCAGCTCCGGCGGAATAGGGCCTGCATCGGCAACGGCCCCAAACGAGACAACACATCAAACGACACCATCAGAGAAAAGGGGGCACAGGATACAGTGTCAAGTACGGCATGTTTGACTATTTATCGTTCAAACGACAGCGTAATTTGATACACTATTAAAAATACCGGGCAGTATCTCTCACGGTCTTGCCGCGAAGGCAAAGGGCTTCACGGCGCGAAACATCCCTCCGTATTATCGTGCCGGTGTCCTGTACTCTACGCTAGCCCGTAGCCACCACGCTTATCTTTGCCTGACGAACAAGGCTAACTGGTGTCAAGTGCTTAATGACGGAAAACAACAACGAAAAAAAAAAACACAACGCGCACACCAACGATGAAGTCGCCGGCTTTCCACATAGAACACCAGCGACAACACAAACGCAAAAAAACGCCACACCCCAAGCACAGACAACAGCCATTCACAACAACAGGGGCAAAAGCAACAACATCGACACCACCAACGACTAGAACAACAAGCAAAACGACAGCAACATCGACAACAGGGGGCAAAAGCAATTGCAACAGCGACGGCGACGACAAGAGCTAACCTTGGATGTGATTCTTCTCCAGCCAGCACAGCATGAGCCCGGTCATGTTGCCAACCTCCGGGGGAATGCGTCCTGCAAGACGACCACACCACGACCACACCACACGTCGTGTAAAGCGATCAGTTAATGTGCGAGCGATTCGGTGGTCGGGGGGAGGGGGGTGATGCAGAGTGAACGACGTCTTGCTGACGGCATACCCAAGCATGCCACCGGGGTCAACCGTGCCTCAAAACATGGTACGTAGGTGACGAAATATACCACCCCACAAGCAGACCGCTTTTGATAAGGTCGACTACTCCATGACGAAGGGGACGCAAAAAATCAAACAAAACGTTTTCGCAGAGCCCTCGACGAGGCGATTCCAACGCCTGCCGCCATTTTTGGTACCGTCTCTGTTATTGCTACGGAGCGATCAAGCTATGAAAATCGGCCCACGGGGTGCGGCACCTCACCTTCCCTACCTAAAACTCACCAATGGTTGCGAGCCCGACTATTAATACAACGATAACGCCACCACTCCGACCATCAACACGACCACAGCAGTGGCTCAGGAGTTTCCAGTCCTCAGCTCCAAGTCCACAGCGTAACAAACCACGTTCATCCCCAATATCACCACCAACCCCACCGCCAGCATTACCTCCTCAACCACAACCGCCTGCACCTCCACGACTACATCCCCAGCGTCCCAACTCACCTCCGAGAAGGTTACAGCTGAGGTCCACCTTCGACAACTCCGTCAGCTTACCCAGCTCCGCCGGGAGGCCACCTGTCGTACGCAATATGATGCACGCACACGTTCGAGTTGCGGAAGGCTACCTGTCCCATGGGAGGCTACATCCGTGTCCCATGTATTATGCATGCATATCTTCATCTTGCAGGAGGCTACAGTACGTTGATGTTGCGACCATGGTCGTCTGGAAGTTGTTGCGAGGGTTCGATTGGGCGGTATCGTTCACGCAACGCATTCGTCTACTTTGTGGTTTCGGGGGGGTTATTATTGCCGCGGTAGTCTTGCTTTTTTTTATCCACCGGAGCCCCCCTTGGCGCTGCGTTGCACAAATTTCATTGGTCGATGGTATATGCTGGTGTATCTCATTGGCCAATGGATGGACGGGGTCATGTTTACTTGCCCCAGGCACAACGCTTAGATGCCCATTAAAAGTCTACTGCCGACAGTTTCGTATTGAACGTATCGGCACGGACGATGGCATTCTCTTGGTTCAACACATTCACCACCACAACAAACCTTGATAAAAACCAGCGACCACCATTTACCACCAAAGGATGACAATGACAATCCTGTTACTTACCGGTAAGCTGGTTCGATCGGATGTCGAGATAGTTGAGGCGGGAGAGGTGCCCGAACGTGCTTGGGATCGGTCCTGGTCGTAAGAAAAAATAACGACAAGAGAGGCAAAAAAACAAAAAAAAGAAAACGACGGGGAAACGCTGAGAGAGAGCGAAAGAAAAAAAATACATGGCGACGAACGTTGCGATTCTTCGGCTTCTTCCATTCTCATGTTGGGGACCAATCACACGGTGCATAAAATGCCCTCAACACCAACAGCAGCAGCAGCAGCAGCAGCAGCAGCAGCAGCAGCAGCAGCAGCAACGATATCAAACAGCTAGGCTACACGCCACAGCGACAGCTACAACGACGATCGCATACTGCCTTGGGAACAATGCCAATTCCACCCCCGCCGCATGCACGACAGAATAGAGGGTGCTCAGAGGGCTGCTTAATGATGGTGAGTGCCAAGAGATTTGACCGGCTTTATTCCAGACACCGGCACTGTTCAAAGTACAGAACGACTGGGTGATTATGTCTGTCAGCCGAATTAACTGGCACTATACCGGGCACCGGCCCTATTCACCCAGCAATTAACAGCCCCCCCCCCCCCC